CTCAAAACCAGCCAATCCCGAAAACATAAAAATCTTCATTGCAGGAACAGCGAGCAATGTCAAAAATCCAAAACGAACCAGCGACCGTGTACCAATCGCGGCAAGTAGTCGCGGTGCTCACCGGGAAGAACGTTAAGACACAAGGGAAACGCGAGCGATAAAGATAGAGGGAGGGAGGATGGTCCGGGAACCAAGACCTGGAGGGAATCCCGCGTCCCGTGGGAGAGGGGAGGGCACGGTTAGACGCGGGTCGGTTACGTTATCGACGGCCTCGAGGCGACAGCCAATCGGGGGAGCGAGCGATACCGCGTTCACCTTGTTGGCCACGCCTACCTGCCGCCGCGATTGGCGTCCGGAACCTTTTCCCGTTCGAACCCGAAGTGGTGGGGGGATGAGCGCCGAGTTGAAGGGACACGGTGGATCGGGTCCGGGCGTCGCGTTGGATCGTGCGTGCACACTCCCAAAACTATCGTCCGCGGAGACGCATTAAGCGTCCGTGACTCCGTGTGTCTTCCTCGTGCGTTCCTCATAGTTGGCCGGCGACGCGACGCCAGCTCCGTCACTGATAACCGCCATCGATGCCCGTCACCGACGGACCGAGATGCTGACCTAACCGCGCCGCGCGACCTTGAAGACCCGGAAACGAGCGAGACGCAAACCTAGTGGCCGTGGAAAGTGAACATCGAATACCCTTGGACTCGGCTGAGTGGATGGTCCCGATATGACAGTGCAGTGACCCGCTTTTTATTTGTTGTTGGTTGTTCGTTACGCGTTCTAACAACGGACGCGTCTCCCTCCGAATCGTCTGGTACCAGGAACCGAGACCCAGAGTCTCAATCACGGCACCAAAATTGAGCTGGACTTGCACCAACGAGCCGCCGGCCACTTCATGAGGTGAGTTGGACACTTTTGGACGAGTGTGTCATGGGTGGATACGGGTTTTGTGCTTTGATCGATGATGAGGAATTTTGGAGGTGTTTTTATGGAGTTTGAGGGGTTTCGAAAGTATCGTGTGTCGGGCAAGCATGGTTGAGAGTCGGCAGGAAGACAGGAGGAATCTTGCTAAGTGTTTTGATTGTAGTTTTAATTGGTTACCTGTATAGTAACTGTAATAGTACTTTGGGATAGAAATTGAAATGGAAACAGATGAGAAGTAATTAATTAGACCATTCTTTTCTATAGCATTCTTGTCTAAGACGAATCATAGTCGCGATTTATTGGGTTCTTTGGGGAGTTGGTTATTGGAATGGCCTTGAAGAGGCAAGTAAATATTGAGGATGAGAGAAACTTGAAAAGGGGTGATGTCAATTTGGAAATTGATTCAGAGTTCCTTCAAGTTTAGAAGTTTTTTTGAAATGTATGTGAATGGTAAAAAGTGTTGGAGTTGTTTGGAAATACTTTTTGCTTCGTATGTAGAAATTGTATGTTAATTGGGAGGGGTTGTTTAATGAAGACTAGGAGTTAGTACGCGAAGAAATATAAATCCTGATGTTGGAGATATGAAATTTGTATAGTATAGTTTCTCGTGAACGAGAAACATGGTGCTTGATCTATTAAAAGTTTCAATCGAGTACTGAATATAATAAATGTTTGTTTCTTTCATTACATTTCTTTCAATATTAAATCTAAATAGTTTAACTACCATTGTCTTAAAACTACCTCAAAAAGTAAATCTTGTGATTAATCTCTGATTCTATTAATATTTTGTTGTTCAAATTACTATTTTGTGGACTTTGCTATACCCATCCTTAAAAAATCAGATGAATATGATTAGAATTATTGACACCGTCGGTGACCCACATGCCATAAATGGTTCATAATCCTTGATACATGCTTATATAAATAAAGTAATAAATGTATAATATTCTGACGGACTCGTTCCGTCGCTTACAAATATACTTTTGTATACACTACTATATCAACAACGATACTCTAAAAGTATTTCGAAACTACATTGTTTATATTTGTCGATTATGAAAATCTTTTAACCTGAAGAAATAAATGGTACCTTCAGACCAGCAGGTGGTACGATTTCAAATTAACCTGTTGGTCTGTATTGTGCTACCTGTGGACACAAAAGAATCGAATGCTATTATACTAATTAAGTTGAAAGAGTATGGTGGACTATAGAAAGTAATACTTGCGAAACCACAACCTTCTTCTACAGCTCAATATTGAGTTAACCAGATCAGCATTCTATTGTTCTGTTCACAATGTTGCCCCATTGACTTGTGATCCTTGAGTGTGTCCAATATAATTATCATTTAGTCATTCAATGTCTAAATTATATACTTTAGATCCTTTTTTTATACGATACAATTGTGTTCACCTGCGACAAATCAAAATTTCTTTCGAAGATTTATTGTTCCGTTAATATTGTGCCTTTAGTCTTTAAAATTCAGTGAAAAGTGTGAAATTTATTTTCCAAATTTACGAGAAATTATCGTTATCTTATTTTCAAACCTTTCATCGTTTTCGTACTAACACACTCGCATAAAACTGAACATCAAACACAATGTCAATACCAAATTTATAACCCTCAATCTCAATCATTCACATTTCCAAATGATGAAAACAAACTTTCTTGTCGAAAAGCCATTTCCTTTCGACTCAAGAATCCACTTAACAGGTAGCACACTAAAAACCAAATCTCTTATACATGTAATCATCTTTATCTATCAAAAAATCCCTAAATCACTTTTCGATCAACTGAATCAAAGCCAAATCAACATATCCCCAATGTCACCGATCCCTCCAAATCACCTAGGCCCACTCCAAAACCTTTCAAAATCCAGCGAATCCCGTCGCAAATAGAGATTCCCTCGTGGAGAGCAATAAATTGCTGCGTGCGGGCACGTCGGGTCGTTCGAACCGGGACCTAAACATTCAATTAGCACTTCCTAATCCCCCGTCGCTCGTTGTCAACAGCCATTACTTCCAGCATCTTCTCTCTCTCCGTTGAGCCACCCCCGAGCACCCTTGGGCTCTCTTGTAAGCAACCACCGCTGGTGCTTCCACCCCCTCCCACCGTCTCTCCCTCTTACTCCCTCGCGCCCCTGCAACCTCGCTAACCAACGTATCTATTAATCCGAGCTGAATGACACTCGAGGGTGGCCCTGGCCGAGGGGTGGTTCTAACCCTACAAAATCGTAACTACCGCCCCCGGGTTAACTCCCTCAACCACTACAGGTTTTTTTTCTTAATGAATGCTCAAGGAGATCCGCGTGTAATTGTATTAGTTCGAGAGGAAGAGAAAGAATGAGAGAGAAAAGAAGGAAAAAGACAGACACAGAGGAAGGCAGAGAGAGAGAGAGAGAGCGAGATCGTAGGAGACGATGGTGAAGAGGGGATGAGAAAGAGGCAGGCAGCCCTAAACGAAGGGTGACATTTAGGGTAAAAAGACGGCGCAGAGAGAGAGGCAACGCGGCGAGATTGGTTAATGGCTTTGATACGAGGAAAGGATAAGATTAATTTGCTTGTGAATCAAAGAGCAAACGAATAAGCAATTACCAGGACCGTGAGGAGTGGCTGGCACGAGTGCCCTCGCTCGGTTCTTCTGCGTGTCGGTGGCGCACAATTAAAAGCCACCAGGCTGGAATCCCCGGGTTTTTTTATGGAAATCGTCATGAACCGGTTGAAATTCATTTTACGACGCGTTCCGCGGAATAAACTATTCTACCCGGGCGAGACGTTTAGATTTTCGGGCCGGGATAATCACGCGAGCGAATGGGAATCTTTATCGGGAGACTTTATTGGGATGCGAACCTCCCGGTGAACAGGATCGTTCCTTATTCAGGTGGAGGTGCTTTTTAATCGGTTTTACATTTTAATCGCGGTACTTTGTAAGTAACTGCTTTTCATCGAATAAAAAGATAAGGTATATTGGCAATTTATGAAGAAACGTGGATTCAAATATTGTCGATGTAATATTGAAGATGAACCAGAACATCGTTTCATTCTTTCCTCCAAACGAATGCAATTTTTATCCTTGAGTCTGATATTATCACCTCCAATTATCATAAAATAATTATACTAATAATTTTTACATCTCTTAATAAACCAACAATAATATTTCTAAATATCGAAGTCACTTAAACTTTATCATACCATCCATTTCAAATTCACAAAATCACCTTTTCATCCAATAGATCATATGCAAGATTACTCCCCTAAAATTGCACCCGTCGAAAACAATCTCGATCTCCATCTATTCATCAGAAGCCTCTTCGGTGCACTAATCGAGACGCGTTCGGAGACTAAATAACCAAGATAACGTCGTCGAGATCGTAAATCAGACGGGTACGTTTGTCTCCGACGGTCGGTCCTTCGTACCTAGTGTCAAAACAATGGACACTCCATGACGCCCTCGGGACACTGTCCCTCTTTCTCTCTCTCTCTGTCTCTCCGGCCGGATCTTGGGTCTATCCTCGGGTCACTCGGACTCGGGGTCGTCGGGTGGCTGTTTTCACGTAGGCGTGTCCCATTAACGTGCCCGTTGGGGTTACTAATTGGTGGCTGGGTTTAATTACAGAGCCGGCGGCAACATGTGCGACGGCTCCTTCACGGAGACCCTGCGCGGTATGCAGAGCATGCCGGGTACGTCGCCACCCGGTGGCGCGGGTGTCGGCCCCATGGGGGTTGGCCTCGGCAGCCCTCTCGGCCCGACCGCGAAGAAGGCGCAGGTGGAGCACATTAAGAGGCCGATGAACGCGTTTATGGTCTGGTCCCGGCTTCAGCGACGGAAGATCGCGCAGGAGAACCCGAAGATGCACAACAGCGAGATCTCCAAAAGGCTAGGTAAGTCTCTTCCGATCTCTAGTAACTATTTTATCGATTCACTATCGAATTAACACGATCAATACGCATGATTCGATTCAATCTTGTTAAGAGGGTGATGAATGATATAATTAAGCGTTGGACGTTAGTAAAGTGACTACTAAATAAATGTTGGAGGAAGTGTATGTTTGCTTGCAGTATTTTTTCGTCTAGTTTATTGTATTATGAGGATAATTAGAAGAGTTCTATATATCTCACTCATAGGGTCAGATAATTACACCATTCTCAAAGTATCAGTAATTTGAAATCATTCTATTAGGATTCAGATAATCGAATGTAACTCTGTATCTCGGAAACACGCTAAATCTTCTACAAAAGAAATCACACACACCAGAAATCCCACAAAGCGTAAGCAACAACGAATCACACTCCCCCGACTCAAAAGAACGATTCACTTCCCAAATATCTATGTCACCGCGGTAACATCGATCTCCGTGAGAAAAACAAAGAAAGGGAACGAGTCGTTCATCCT